ACTCTCTGACTTTCCCAGAGACATTAACAATTTTACAAATTCCCTTCCTACTTGAGCCAATTGCAGCAGACATGCTGTGTGTCTACTGAACACCTAATTCTTCTTTTTACTTATTACAAATAACTATGGGTTTTCTTTCCCAGTGGTAACTTGTCAATGTAAAAACTAGCCAACATGCCCCATCTCTCCTATAGCCATGGGTGGCCATCGAGATTTGAGTAGAAGTCTCCTAGTGATTTGTGGGAATGATTTGTCTTTCAAACATAGATACTGTTTTTCACTAGTAATTTCTCCTTCTTCTTCCTGCCTAAAAATTACATGGAAATCTGTAGCTTTCTTGAGATAATGAGGAAATCAAGAGACTTAAACTAGAGGACAAGAACAATGAAGCAGAAAAGGCAGTAGAAAACTAAAATGTTAACATTTTAAAGCACCTGTATCATTACTGTATTACTTATCTACAAACTTTTACTTACTTAAGAAAGATAAGCTTTTATTTAGTTAAACTACTACAGTAAAACTTTTCACCATTGCAGGCAATACATTATCAAAAAAAAAAAAAACACTTCTTTTTTCCCCAATTAGGGAATCTTTATGTTCTACATATACAGATAGAAAATATAAATGTATATGATTTATTGACATTAGCCTCCCTGTTCCATCACTATTTGATTTAGAGCAAGTGATTTTAATTTTCAGGATCTCAGCATTCAAAGATATGGTCAACTTAAGTAATATTGAAGTGATTTTTTTTCCTTCTAAAGTTCTAGGATTCCATGAAATGTCCAATGCTATTGAAAAATAAGGATTTCTTCACTTGTTACTGCTCTGTAAAGTAAATCTGTTACAGCCGAGAGAAGAGACTAAAAATGTTTTAGAGCGATTACTAAGAATTTGATTTTGTGTAAACTTCGAGGAGGATTTGGGACAGGACCTTATACACTCAACGACTGAGAACCAAGTGAAACATACATCTGATTACAGATAACAAAATATAGAATATTGTTTTTAAATGAGCTTAAGGAAAAAATTAGAACAGAGAGCTAGAGGGTAATAAGATTTCTGAAGGGATTATCATACAAAGGATGTCAGGAACTGCTTTTTCATGTGAAGTTGAAGTTGGCTAAGTGCCATATTGGTCCCATAGCGATAGAGGATGCTGACACTGACTTCAAACATTCATCATTTATTTCGAAAAGATTTATTAATGATACACTACATGAAAATACTGGAGGAAATACGGTGGAGTGTAGAGAGAATAATATCACATTGTTCATGTTGCTCTCAATCCACCAAAACAGATAAGGCAGTTTCTGGGTTGTTGCTTTTTTTAACTTTTTAAAATATTTTATTTACTTATTTTTAGAGAAAATCTAAGGGAAAGCCAAAGAGGGAGAGAAACATTGATCCATGACTGCCTCCCATGCACCCCCATTTGGGGACTTATCCCGCAACCCAGGCACGTGCTCAACCAGGAATTGAACCTACAACCCTTTGGTTTGCTGGACAGCACCCAATACACTAAGCCATACCAGTCAGGGCTTTTTAAATTTTTTATTGTATTTTTTTCCATTACTACTTGGTCTCTTTAACCACCTCCCCACTCCCACAATCACCACACTGTGGTCCATGTCCATGAGTCCTTTTTTCCTTTTTGCTCAATCCCTCTACCTCCCAACCATCCATTAGCTGTCACCCTGCCTCTATGAGTCTCTCTATGAGTCTGTCTCCACTTTGCATGTTAGTTCAGTTTGTTTGTTAGATTCCTCATATGAATGAAATCACGTGGTATTTCTCTTTCGCTGACCGGCTTATTTCACTTAGCATAACATTCGAGAGGTCCATCCATACTGTCACAAAGGGTAAAATTTTCTTCTTTTTTATGGCTGAGTAGTATTCCATTGTGTAAATGTTCCATAGTTGTTTTATCCACTCATCTACTGATGGACACTTGGGCAGCTTCCATATCTTGCCAATTGTAAATAACACTGCAGTGAACATAGGGTGCTTATGTTTTTTTGAATTAGTGTTTTGGGTTCCTTCAGATATATTACCAGAAGTGGATTGCTGGGTCAAAAGGCAGATCCATTTTTAATTTTTGGAGATACTTCAATAGTGCTTACCACAGTGGCTGCACTAGTCTGCACAGTCTTCATTCCCTCCAACAGTGCAAAAAGGTCCCCCTTTGTCCACATCCTCGCCAGCGCTTGTTGTTTGTTAATTTTTTGATGAGAGCCATTCTAAGAGGTGTAAGATGAAATCTCACAAAAGAAAACATCAATAGAATAAAAATGCACAGAATGGAAGAACACTACTGCCAATACAGCTGATAAGGGGTTAATATCCAAAATGTATAAAGAACTTAGAAAATCAACAAAAAAACAAACAACCCAATTAAAAATGGGCAGAGAACCTGAATAAACAGGTTCTTCCCCAAAGAGGCATACAGGTAGCCAATAAACATATGAAAAGATGCTCAATGTCACTAATCATCAGATAAAGGTAGTTCATTTTAAAGAATACTATGGGATGATATAGGGGCGCACAAGCTGGTTAACCTACGTTTGGTTTGCCAAGGACAATCCTGAGTTAACCATGTTGTCTGGCTTAATTTTTGGCATTGTTCTTTTCCATACTCAGAATTGACACACACTAGTTATATGCCTTTAAAATTGAAATTTTATTTCATGTATCTATCAACTCAAAGTGTTTCTTTTTAGTCCCATTACCTTTTACTATCACATAAAATTGTTTGGTCTCTAAATTTACTTTTATTCTTTTCCATTCTCTAACTCTTTTTTCATTCTGCCTAGTTATTAGCAACAGACACACAAATAAAAAGAATGTAAACAAAATCTGAAGCAGTATTTTCAAAAACAGTTATATAAATGGTTTACTATATCACCTTAAAAATATATTGAATGAGACTAAGTAAAAAAAAAGAGTACATTCAAAGGATAAAATGAATCTGTTGGTCATACATGAGAATTATTAATAGAAGCCTGAAATAATCTAGAAAAAGGATAAAAAATGTACAGTAAAACCTCCTTTAATAGACAAAAGCAAACTAAGCAAACAACTAGAACAGGAACAGAACCACATAAATGGAGGAATAAGTAGCATTCCAAGAGATTAGCATTCCAAGAGGAGATTCAGAGATTAAGAGCATTATCTTTGCCTAAGGAAAAAGAGCTATCAATGAGCTCTCTGATTATAAAAGATTAAACTTTGCTCCCATTATAAATGACATTTACCTAATAAATTTGTAATATCACATTTTATTTTATTTTTACATATTTTATTGATAATGCTAGTACAGTTGCCCCATTTTCCCCACTTGACTCCCCTCCACCCTGCACATCCCCTCCCACCCACATTCCCGCCCTTTAGTTCATGTTCATGTGTCATACTTATAAGTTCTTTAACTTCGATATTTCCCATGCTATTCTTACCCCATGACCATCTATTTTCTACCTTCCATCTATGCTACTTATTCTCTGTACCTTTTCCCCCCTCTCTCCTTCTCCCATTCCCCTGTTGCTAACCCTCCATGTGTCCTCCATTTATGTGGTTCTGTTCCTGTTCTAGTTGTTTGCTTAGTTTGCTTTTGTCTTTGTTTTAGGCGTGGTTGTTAATAATTGTGAGTTTGCTGTCATTTTACTGTACATGTTTTTTATCTTCTTTTTCTTAGATAAGTCCTTTTAACATTTCATATAATAAGGGCTTGGTGATGATGAACTCCTTAAACTTGACCTCATCTGGGAAACACTTTATCTGCCCTTCCATTCTAAATGAAAGCTTTGATGGATAGAGTAATCTTGGATGTAAGTCTTTGCTTTTCATGACTTGGAATACTTCTTTCCAGTCCCTCCTTGCCTGTAAGGTCTCTTTTGAGAAACCAGCTGACAGTCTTATGGGCACTTCTTTGTAGATAACTGTCTCCTTTTTTCTTGCTGCTTTTAAGATTCTCTCCTTATCTTTCATCTTGGAAAATATAATTATGATGTGCCTTGGTGTGTTCCTCCTGGGATCCAACTTCTTTGGGATTCTCTGAGCTTATACCATTTTAGATTACTAGTGGTGGTATTAGTCCTTCTGGCAGGAGCTGACATCCAGAAGTCACTCACTAACAGGTGATGATAATTTAAAACAACAACAAAAAAAACTATACCAGAGTTATGTGTACTAATTCTGAATGAGTAGCACACAGTATGGAAATAACTGACTGACCTGTGGTCATAGGGCTAGTTCTTCTACATGGGGAACCTTGTTTAGGCCCACTCATAAACTTTCATGATTGGTTTTAGCATTCTACTTTTCTGCTACTGTTAATGTAAGAATGAAAATGCTTTGCATATCCTTGGCACCCACTAGAGAAATCGTATCCTTTTCTAATAATAATGAGAAGTGCTGTAATTAAAAACACAGAGATTTTTTTCCTTCCCAGTAATTTGACTTAACATAAGTCTGCTATAGTAAAACCATTTATCTATGGTTTGTTGAGACATAATTATAAGAGACTTAAAAAAGCAGTTTTGGTTAATAATGTAGTACTATAAATTGAGCAGGATTAATCTACTCCATTATTCTCTACTTTAAAAGAAATGGGAAGAAGTAAAACAACAGAGCAAGGAGATTTCCCAATTTTCCACTGAAATAAGCCACCCTGCTTTAATGATTACTACCCAAGTGAACTAAAGAGATTTATAAATCACTTATTAATGCTAAAAAAATGTTTCCAGGTTCAGGCAAGACTTATGAAGAGATTACAAAAAAAGTGTAACTTTGTGGATTTAATGAAAGATTAACTGGGAGTAGAACTTTGATTGAAAGTAAAGTCTGGTTAAAAACAAACCATAAAATAAAATCTTTCATCTCCATCTATTCTTAAGGCTCTTGTCTCATAATACTAAAAAAGATTATTTCCAAAACTAGTATCTAAGTGTGGCAGAGTAAGAATTTTACCCTTATCTCTCTGATACCTTAATCATGAGGTTCAGATATTTTTGTAGTTTAGAAACGTGATGATTGGGTGCTCACACTCTTCTGTGACATGTGTATCCCTCACCATCCTGTTACGACATCAGCACATTACCCTGCTGATGTAAAAAAAAAATTTAAATGTTTATCTCTTCTTTGCCAAACAAAGCCGTCCATCATTAGGACAATTTCAGCTTGCATATGGTTAACTGGTTAACTTAATCTGCATCCAAGTATCATTGTTCCTTGACATATGGAATCCATCATAAATCCACCTTTACATTAAGGAAGATGGATGTGAAATCTTTAGATTTCACATCAGGATATTCTATCATTTGCATGGTCTTCAGCCTTCAAATCTCAACCTTCCAATTCCATTGCTGTTTCCTTTTCTTCTTTTTTTTAAAAAAATTTATTTTATTGTTGTTCAATTGCAGTTGTATGCATTTCCTCCCACTAATCCTCCCCACCCCAGCCAAACCCACCTCCCTCCCTTGCTTCCACCCTTCCCCTTGGTTTTGTCCATGTGTCCTTATAGTAGTTCCTGAAAACCCTTTCCTCTGTTATTCCCTCCCCTCTCCCCTCTGGTTACTGTCAGATTGCCCTTAATTTCAATGTCTCTGGTTATATTCTGCTTGCTTTTTTCTTTTGTTGATTACATCAAGGTGGATGAAAGATTTAAATATAAGTCATGGCACCATAGAAGTCCTAAAGGAAAACATCAGCAGAAAAATCTCAAACATTCTACACAGCCACATCTTTACTGGTATGTCCCCTAAAGCAAGGGACATAAAGAAAAGAATAAACAAATGGGACCTCATTAAATTAAAAAGCTTCTGCACGGCTAAGGAAAACAGCATTAAAATGAAAATAGAACCAACTATATGGGAAAACATATTTGCCAATGATACCTCAGACAAGGGTTTGATCTCCTTTTCTTCTTTTAAATCCCCTATAGCTATGCTCCAAATAGAACAATGAGTCAATGATGTTTAATTACCCTTTCTCTTGACCCTTCTCAAGTCCATCTCTTCAAAAGCCTTGTCTGTGTTTAATCTGCTTTCTTCACTCTGTCTAGACTCACTGGTTAATGATTTCAGATAATTCCTAATTCTTACCTACCATAATTTGTTTGAAGGTGCACTGACCTTAAAATATGACATGTACAGGTTAAATCCCTATTTCTGCCCTTTAGAAACTGTGACTTTCTCTAAGGCACCACGATTTCTCAACTTTAGATTATTCTTTGGTAAAATGCAAATGATGCCTACCTCTGAACATTTTGTGATGATTAAATGAGGTAATATGGGTAAAGTTGATCAGTAGATATAGAGGTTAAATAAAGGCTAATCTCCCCTTTTTTTCCTTCTCTTTGTCCTCCTGAAGAATTCACATTGCTAATTCTAACTAACATGTTAGTGTCTGCAACTGTGCTATCTGGCTTCAACTGAACAATTCCAATAAAGCTTGAAATTTCTTTCACTGCCTTCTAGGCTGTTCTTTTTAGCATCCCTTCCTGTATTATATATAAGTCCTTACTACATCTTTACAACCCCATCTCTGTTTCTGTCAATCCTAGCAAATTATCTTGCTTCATCCCCTCAGAATCAAAAGACCAAGAAACACAAACCCTATCAACTTCCCTCCTCCCACATACAACTCATCTCTCTATCTACCTGTCTACCAACCTATTTTTCTTCACACCTAATTCTTTCTTCTCTCTTTTGTATGTCTCAAAAGAAGATGCCCTACAGACAGCCCTATCCAAATTAATGATTTAATTCACCTCCTGCTCCATCTGGAACCCTGTTTGATGATTAATGATGACCCCTTTTCTTGAACTTTGTACTTTTATTCTAAGGATACTAAACATATTCATTTTTTTCTATTTAAAGATATTTTCTTGGTCATGTATTCCTCCCATATCATAGTCCTTGCTTCATAACTCACTTTATTGCCCAAGTCTTTGAAAGAACTTTCTTTATTACTTATTATTTCTTTTCTAATTGGAAGAGATGACCTCTGCCCTCATTAGTAAAATGATTTTTATTTTAGTTAAGCACTTCTTAATTTCATAATCCTCTAGCTATTCTTAATTTATTATTTTGTTTGATCTCTCAGAGGTATTTGCCACTCCTGTTAAGAATGTTTCCCCCCTTGACCTCAAGATATAGATCTCTTCTTAAGTCTTTGGTTATCTCTTCTTCTTCCTTCATTATACCCTACCTCTTTACTCAACCTGAAAATATTTTGTTTCCTAATTCCATTATTAATCTTCTCACATTAAATGTATTTATTTCTCAAGATGATATTCATGCTTATCACTTCAATAGCCAAATATAAAAGTTGAGAATATGCATATTTGTAGTTTATCCTTATTGGTAATATAGGTAAATGTGTTACTAGTATTAGACATGTGCAACTGGATTTTCCCTAATTAATTAAGGGATCTCTATTAATTAAGTCAGTCCAATATAAAAACTAACCATAACACTCTTTGAGTACATAAGGAATATCCATGTTAGAGTCTGAATCCAAGAAGCTAGGGAGAGATCAGTGGTCCTGTGTCCAGATAGTCAAGAAGAAAAAAGTGGTGAGACTGGGTCAAAGCCAAAAGGCATATCCTAAATCAAAACTAACAAAAAAAAGTCATGCATGTGGCAAAACTACCCAGAAAATTCTTGGGTAGTTGTTTATAATGATACAGGAATATGCATGGTTTGTGGTTGGTACCAGTGGTCAAATTGTTCATGGGTAGACCTTATTTACCTAAAAACAGACTCAGTGAGCACTGGTCCTTGGTCTCTCAGTTTCTAATACTTTTATATAAAATAAACCCAACTACCAAATCCATTTAGTCCTACCACCTAAATATATCTTAGACCAATTCTCCTCTTTCCATCCCATTGTCACTGCTTCAGTTCAGGTCATCATCATTTGTCACATCTACTATTGCAAGTAGCCAGCTAATCCATCTCTCTTGGTCTTTCTGCTACTAACCTGTCTCAAGTCTAATAAATTTTCCACACTGCCTTCAGAGGAATTTTTCTACAACACAAACCCGGTCAAGTCAATTCATTGCTGTAAAATTCTTCTGCTGAAATGTCAAAGCTTATATCCTTTAGCATGTCAAATAAGAATAATAATAAACTCATGCCTGACCACATTTCTAGGCTTGGTTTCAGCTTCTCTTGTTAACTGCGTTCCTGTTCTCTGGTCAGGACATTCTTTCACATCCCTGTAATCCCTACTGGTTCTGACTGCTTTGTCTGAAAATCCATGTTTTTATACAGTGAAATAGCAGTGATTCTTTAGTTGTTTTTTTTAAACTAGAATAGTATCTTTGACATGGGTACTTGTATTATGTCACAAGTACCATGAGTTAATACTGTCATAATTAAGTATAATATCCCTAACAGTCTGTGATCTACTTGAGGTTAGGGACAACATTTGTTTGCACTTGTCCATCCCATATTTAGATGTGTGCTTAACAGCAATATTAACCCCAATAGATGCTGAAAAATATTTGTAGTTTTTCTAGGTGTTTGGCTGGCTGACTGGCTGAATTAATGAGTAACAAGTTATTACAAAAATTACCATATCTTATATAAATTCTAAGCCTGTTTGAGTATACTTTACTATAAAAATATACTCAATACTTTCAAAAGAAGTCTCACAAGAAAGCACAGAGAGTGAAAAGGATTGCCAGCTCCAAAGAAGGAGCTTTACTTTCAGACACTGGATGACAAGATCGGTGATAGTGATGCTTCTTCCAACTATTATTTCAAAATTGAAATACTATTTAAATATGAAAAAGTATAACTTTATAGTTTAACAAATGCATTAATGCAGACTCATGGTATAAATTAATATCCAGCAATTAATTCGTCATTTTGAACATACTGAAACAAATAATCACCCAGCTGTCCCTGGCCCCTTTCTATAACTATTAGTATAGAAGTTTCAGAAATCTCCTCATCCCAAGGCAGTGTATGTGGGGTGTGTTGAGTATTAGAAATTATCATCTGGCACAATCTAGAAATGACAAGGGAAACTCTCATTTTACTTTGTTGGTTCATCCTATGCTCAGATACCAGTTCTTGGCTGGTACTCACCCACACTGTATCCCAGTCTGGCTGGCGAGGCCCTGAGGCCCCACCAAACTTTTACCAGCTTTCTTTAATTTTGGCTGAATGCATGAATATTCAAATTAAATCACTCTTTCCTACTCCAATAGTTTTACTAGTAGTTGCCACCTGAAGCCTTCTTTGGCTCTGTATCATCTCACTGTTTTAGCATAATGTTTGCTTAAATAAACTTTGTGTTTGTGTCTTACCTTTTTGGACACTGTATTTGTGAAGCTGAATACCCCTCTAAAGCACCAGTTCTAGAATCTGGATGTGTCTTTAGGCCCCCTTTCAATTTACATTGAGTTTATATGGGTTCTCAATGAAGAGAGGGTGGGCATATCATCCCCAGTGGGGCATTTGAGAATATACCGACAAATTTTTTGGTGCTCACTAGGGGAAGTGTTACTGGCATCTAGTGGGAACAGAGATGCTGTTAAACATCCTGCAATGCACAGGACAGACCCCAGCTCCACCCTACACCCAGAATTATCTGGGCCACAATGTCAGTAACATTGATGCTGAAAAATCCTGCATTTCATATTTTCTCCTTCCTACTGGTGCTTAAAGTATTAATATGTCTCATGACTGTGCTGACCTCAGTTCTCAAACCAGGGCAGAAAGCATATAAAGTTTACCAAATTTTGATACTATAATCCAGTTACTTGGACTCTTTTATGCCCAGATTTCCTGTCTTGATAAAATAGCAGCTGACCATTCCTCTTCCTCAGAGTGCCCTGGAGGTTTAGTGAATCCATTTTAATGAGGTGCTTTACTATCCTTGGGTGAAAAAACACTCCACAAGTGTTATTCCCATCACAAGAGAGAGCAATGACTGCTTTGCAGATTGGCACATGAAGTCATTCCTGCAATGCACCTCCATCCCATAGCTCCAAAAAGTGCAAAATTTGCTCATAAAAAATAGAAGTGGACTGACAACATTAGCATTTTCTTTCACATCTGTCAGAAGTAGTCACTGAGGAATAAGCTGTGTGGTG